GTGGGAATCTGATGGCAATATCCAGAAAGGTTCTCAGAGTGAAGAATCCAAAAGCAAAACCTAGCTGGAGTTTAGAAATAAGGGGAGATGGACCTTTCAAACATGAGGCGAAAGAAAGTGGTGCTGGCCTCTCCTGTTGCAAGTGCTAGTTCTTCATACAAAAGAGCTAACATTTATTGAGTGCTTGCTATGTGCCAGGCATCTTTGTAGGGATGATCTGTTTTCCCTCTTCGTAAAAACTCTTAAGGCCATCGCTATTATCTTCTTTTGATATATGAGGAACTGGGGTTCACAGGGGCTGAGTCATGTGGCCAAGGCCACATGGACAAGAAGTTTAGCAGAACCAGATTCTGGCCCAACTCTCTAAGTCCAGAATCCAAGCTCTTAATCATCATGCGTCTACTGCCCTTCTCTAATACTGCCCAGGCCTCCTGGCACTGCTATGCCCCCAACACCTCATGTGGTATTTGCTGAAGAACAAATGATCCCTTCCTACTATCAAAGGGTTCCTAATAATCAGTGACTTGATAAGAACTGTTGAGCATGATTGTACTATGACCAGTATAATTCCAAGTGCTAGTTATAGCATTGAATAAAACAAAGTCCCCATGCTTCAGGGGTTTATATTCTAGATGCCACTGTGCCTACTGATTTCAAATTTTAAAAGATCTCAGACCATCCATCCATAGTGTAGAGGATGGATTACAAGAGAACAAGGGTAGAGGTGAGAGACCAATTAGAAAGTGGTTGCAATAGCCCAGGCAGGAGGTGATGCTGAAAGGGTCAAATTTTRGGGAAAATGGTAACAGGTCTAAATAGATTGAATATGGGATGCTAAGAAGAGAGAGGCATTAAGGATAACTCCTAGACTTTTTTTTTTTTTTCTGAGTAATCAGGTACATGGTGGTGGTGTTTACTAAAAAGAGAGAAACTGGGTCAATGACTCAGGAAGTAAGCAGAATCTATAGTTCTATTTTGGTTTTGTTAAACTTGAGATACCTCTTTGATTCCAAGTTTATACACACAAAAAAAAATGTTGAAATACCTCTTACTCATACAAATGTTTATTATTTTATTATTATTGTTAGTATTATTCCTCTTATTCACACAAATGAATAATCAAATTGGAGCTCAGAATGGGGGTCACAATAGGAGACAGGGCTGGAGATAAGAGTTGAGAGCKCCAGGCACAGTAGTGCACACCTGTAATCCCAGCAACTAGGGAAGCTGAGGCAGAAGGATCACAAGTTCAAAGCCAGCCTCAGCAWTTTAGCGAGGCCCTAGGCAACTCAGCAAGACCTTGTCTCTAATAAAATATTAAAAAGGGTCGAGTGAGATGGACACCATTACCCTAGGTACATGTGTGACTGCATGTATGGTGTGACGCTACATCATGTACAACCATAGAAAAGTAAAGTTGTGATGCAGTTGTGTATGATGAATTAGAATGCATTCTGCTGTCATATATACCTAATTAAAATAAATCAATTAATTWAAAAAAAAGTTTTGGGAGTTACCTGATATACACAGACAGACAGCCACTGAGCTACAGACACTTATATGGCACCTGGGTAAAATCACCCAGGGAGAATGTGTATGAAGAGAGCCAAGGACAGAGCCCTGGGACCCCTCTACACTGGCAGGTTGAGGATGAGGCAGAAAGGAAACTGGGAAGAAAGGTCCAGTGCAGCAAGAGTGGGTGAAGAGAAAAAAATGTTTCAAGGCGGAGGCAGTGATCAGCATGCCAAGGCTGCAGGGAGGTTGCGTGGGATGAGACAGAAGGTGAAAGGAAGTGGGCAAATCAAGAAAGGCAACACTTTCAAGGGCTTTTCCGAATAGAGTTTCAGAGCCATGGGACAGAACTTGAGAACATGAATTCAGGGAGGCATTTTGCTTTTTGCCTCCTCTGCCCCCCATTGGGAGATAAATCTTCTTTCCATAGTGGTGGGAGTGGTTCACTAGAGAGGACAAAGGGGTCATCCAAAAGAGAAAGGATAAATGCAAAGAGCTTGAGGTTGAGGGAGTGGAAGTCCAGGCCAAGTATGTCTGGAGCTGATGGCAGAGAAGGAGGGAATATGGCAGAGCAGCAAGGAAACAGAGGACATGGGGAGGGCAGCGTCGGYGAGTCTCTCTCCTATTTTCTCTGTTGAAAGATACAGTAATATCCGGGCATGGTGGTGCACGTCTGTAATCCCAGGGCCTTGGGAGGCAGAGGCAGGAGGATCGCGAGTTCAAAGCCAGCCTCAGCAAAAGTGAGGTGCTAAGCAACTCAGTGAGACCCTGTCTCTAAATAAAATACAAAATAGGGCTGGGGATGTGGCTCAGTGGTCGCTTGCCCCTGAGTTCAATCCCCTCCTCGCAAAAAGATACAGTCCTACTGCAGCTGATCTTGACGGTGAAAGCAAATGAATAGCTCCCAATTATGAAGCATAATCTTCTCACATGTAAGTCCTGAGCATGCATCCCTGTGATGCTAGGGAGTAGGTGGCAGGGACACAAGAGTAGCATCACAGAGGGAGCTGAGCTCAGGGGTGGAAACCGGTGGAGACCCCAGATGGCTGTGCTCAGCCTCACCCTCTGTTCTTTACTCACAGTGACTGACCCTCATCACCCCTGCTCCTCTTATTCTTTCTCTCTACTCCACCTTCCAGAAGTCTGTTGATCCCCGTGGGCCAAGTGAGAGCAATCCTCCCATGTGACTGGTCAACATGGCAAGCAGGACAGAAGGGACACAGCTATGTCTGTGGKGGTGAAATCCTTTAACTGACATTGTAAAGCCTTCTTATTCTCTCTGTGCATGTGTTTATGGTCTAGAGAAGTCCCGTTCTTTCCCATGAAAGTTTGTATCTGAGTCACCTGGGCTACAAAAAGTCTTTACTAAAGGAATTCAGGTAAGAACAGCTTTCTGTAAAGCCTACGACTACATGTATTATTTTTATAGCTCATCACTCTGTAAGTACTATTTTATAACTATAATAAAAACTACATGGTTAAAAGAGAGAAACCTGTTAACCTCTACCAAAATAAATAAGGGAGGCTTCCCTTAAAATGGGGGACATCAGAGAATAGCATAGTCTGTGGGGCATGGAAACCACTGACTACAGTTTCTTTTGTGTATTGAGCATTTGGGGAAAGAAATGAGAGTGGGTGACGAGGCATATTAAAGCTTTTCCTCTGAAAATCTAGAAGCCATCAGAGAAACACATTCTCACTACAGAAAAGACACTAAAGAGGAAGAGGACAGCATAGAAGTACTTTTGAGGCTGAGGTGGCCTGAATAACCCAAGGCTCATGAAAAAATTGTTTTACTCTAAGTTAACAGAATCATGGGCTGGGGATGTGGCTCAAGCGGTAGCGSGCTCGCCTGGCATGCGTGCGGCCCAGGTTCTGATCCTCAGCACCACATACCAACAAAGATGTTGTGTCCGCCGAGAACTAAAAAATAAATATTAAAAATTCTCTCTCTCTCTCTCTCTCCCCCTCTCTCACTCTCTCTTTAAAAAAAAAAACAGAATCATATTTTAATCAAGATCTGGAAGATTAAAGATTGGAATTAAGGGTGTCATTTTTTCTTAAAATTAAAGCAAGAAAAGCACTATTTTGGCATAGGATTGAGCAACATTTCAATTTTAGCTATTTTAATAAATAGTTTTATTTTTGTTTTAAAAAGCATTGCCTGGGTGGGCTTCAGTGGCCACATCTGTAAAGACCCAGCAAGCCTTTATCATCTCCCAACAAATGGATGAAGTGAAGTTAGCAAAGCAAACATCATCACAGGACAGGTCACCTTCCCTGTTGTATTTATTTTTTCTTTCAATACTGGGGATTGAACTCAGGGCMCTCTACCACTGAGACACATCTCCAGCCCTTTTTATTTTTTATTTTGAGACAGGGTCTCACTAAGTTGCTGAGACTGGCCTTAAAYTTGCAATCCTCCTAAATCGCTGAGATTACAGGTATGCACCACCAAGCCCTGCGTGATCTTCCTTCATGAGGCAGCAAATAAAGCTGTATTCTCTCCATGTAGATTTCTAGATCAGATAAAAGAGTGCATTTGGACAGAAGTTAAGGATGATCATGAGGTAGGCCAGAATTTGGGGGGTAGGGCAGACAAGCCAGGAGCCTTCTGGAAGGATAGAAGGGAAGATCTAGGCATGGGCAGGAGGGTAAGAGTCCTCCAGTTTTACATGTTGACATTTTTTTTTTTAACATGTGGACTTTTTGTTACAGGACCCACATCCCAACGCAGCAGGTACAATGTGGGGGTCCACCAGGCGATGCTTCCTAACCTCAGTGGGGATCCTGTGGCTCTTCTTCATTTTGAAAATCCCTAGGGAAATTGAAGATGACCAAAAGATGGTGACTATTAAGGGCCAAGTAGCAACCCTTGCTCTCAGTTTGGGAATTGGGGGTGTAGTTTGGGAATAGTGAGGACTGCCGCAGTCTGACTGGGCACAAAATAACCGAGATGCCATAAAGCCTTGTAGGTTCAAACAGCAACTCTTTATTCCCGAACTCTCACCGGCACTCTACCCACACTTCCCGGGAACACACTCCCTCCACCGGGCTCCAGGCGCCAATTCTCCCCGAACCCCTGGACAACTAAATGGGAACTCCAAAGTAGCGGGATCCGCCCTAATCCCAGCAGGATCCGCCCTAATCCCTGAGCCACCCTAATCCCAGAGCAGGGTCACCTTTCAACCATTCCCTCTAGCAAAATGCCAGGTGTCATTCCAACTAAACTGTGGCTCTCAACAAGGACAAGCAGATTCCCCAAAGCACCTGGGCTTTCCTTTTCCCTGTACCTTTCCACCAGAGAACAGGGAGCTCCAAAGAGAATTGGGGTATGGATCTGGGCCCATTAGTCCCTAAAGAAGCTGCATGTATTTTTTAAAGAGGGAATGAAAACCSCTTGGGCCCTGGATCCTTTGACTCATGACTGGGACATCCCGAAAATATGCTGGAGAAGGTGGCCCACTCCACCACTTTCCCTAGAAAAGCTTATGGGTCACCCCTGGAAGGGGGGTACGTTTTCTTTTTTTAAAGAAAGGAGGTGTATGCTTTGCCTTTGTCGATGCCCAGGAGACCAGTAGCAGCCGTAAGACCCCCAGACCACTAGAAGACTGGCAAACCATCACCTTCAAATATCTGGAAAAAATCCAACGCAGAAGAAAGAGTGAGTGTTGAGGAGGGGAAGGATGGTACCAGGAAGTAGGAACGTAGGGGAGGTAGGGAGGAAGGAAGCSAGAGGAGGAGAAAAGGCAGGAGAATTTCAATCTGGCAGACAATTCTCTCCCCACTCCCAAGGCATTTACCTATCAGGAGTATGAGAAGAAGGAAAAGATAAACAAATATAGAATAAATATGTCAATCACATAAAATATTACTGAACATTACACTGTATTTACTCTCATCTTCAAGAGTGTACCTGGGGTTGGGGATGTGGCTCAAGCAGTAGCTCGCTCGCCTGGCGTGCTTGCGGCC